CTTTGGTTTTGCCGATTTTTACAGTTGTGGTAACTTGTAAATAAACCTTTGTTTACAAATCAGCGAAAGAGAAATATGAATTATAAGTGAAAAATCAGTTTAAATTGTGTTAATTTGCAATTTGTGAGTGATTTTTGAGTTGAAGACTGCGTAAAAACTAATACAATGAAGTGATGTGTAGATTGCGTAGATGCAAGTGTAGCGCTGGGACGAATCGCTGCATTTTATGTACATAGGGCACGGCAAAGCCGTTCCCGAAATATTTCTCTATTATTATATTAACAGCAATTCCTCACAATGATTTTGTTTCTGCTCCACGCAGCCTCCATTAGCAAGTTAACTAATCAATCCCGCAGAGATGCTGCTGCAGTTTTCTGCAGCAGCCTTAATTGCAAAGCAATGGAGTGTACTAAAACGTTTGCTGAAGCAGCCTCAATTGCAAAGCAATGGAGTGCACTAAAATGTTCACTGTTCTCTAATAGATTAGGTGAAAAATGCAATATTTTCGCATTTAGCAAAATTAAAACACGTTTTTCGCTGTAAAGTGAACTGCTTTTGCAGTTTCCACTCGTTCTTCTTTTCGCTCTATTCGTTGTTTACTTGTGGTATACAAATGTCAACGCCCAGGACGGCGCAATCTTGTATTCTATCATTCTTGGTAGAAAATAGTTATTTTGCAGTGTTAAGTAGCAACCAATTATTTGCTCATCGTTTGAAATTTATTTTCGCACTTTGGTAATATTATAATACAGAACAAATACAGGACATATTTTCAAATACAGAACATTTTTGCTGTTTTTATTAAAAAATAATTCACACAGAACAATATATTAAAATACAGTACTGTTCTGTATAATACGGAATGGATGGTCACCGTAAGTATTACATATATGCTGCTGGGTCTAAAGAATTTTTGCAAGGCTGTTTCGAAATTTTTTATTTTTTTGTAGCCAAACGTAGGGATCACCTTTTTAACCGACTTCCAAAAAAGGAGGAGGTTATCAGTTCGACGGAATATTTTCTTTTTTTTTTATGTATGTTACCGCATACCTTTGGACCACGTCAACCGATTTTTTTTGCATCGGAAAGGTAGTGTCTCAGAGGTGGTCCCATACTAATCTGGTTGAGATCCGATCAGTGGATCATGAGATATATATATATATGTATTTTTTTTATATGGGAGTTGAAGTCGGTTTTTTTTTTGCTAAAAATTACTTGTTACACTTTCATTATAAATAATATCTTCTTTATTAACAGTACAGTAAAATGTGATCCATCAATATTTTTTCCTCGAGCCTTTTGTTCTAAAGTTCATCGACCTCCAGTATTCCGTTCTATGTGCTACTTACCACCAAAATGTCAGTAAACGAAATCTCCCCAAAAATCATTCAACTTTTGCAAAGGGCGTATTTGTGTATTCCAGTAAAACTATTTAAAAAAAATATATTTTATGGCCGAATGTAGGTGTCATTGGAAAATTTAAAAAGGCGGCCACAAAGGCCAAGAAAAATCGAAAATGTCTTGCAAAAATTCTTAGACTCAGGAGTGTACGGCGTAATATTTTTGTTTGGTTTTAAGATGGTTTAATGTACACATACATATGTATGTATGTACATTAGACTGCATCACTCCCCATACAAAAAAAAATCGGTACTGTTTGTCCATTGGAATTACAAAATTTATTGTATTTTAAGACGTCCACCAAAATATTTCGGAAAAATATTGAGATCTATGTGAGATGAACCGATTTGAAAATACCTCCAAAAAT